AGAGGCAAGAATATACAGTATACATTTTACTCCTCATAATCCTCATATTTATAAAATAAATATTTCTGCATCCAACATCATCTGATCCTCAACTTTCACTGCAGCTTTCTGTTGCCAGTACAGGTTGCCAATTATACAAATACCATTCTGAAATAAGACTTTTATTTAGGAACATTTCCGTCAGCTTGTCATATCAGTAAAAGGCTTTGTGTTGAAATGAGCATACATACCCTTATTCATACCATAATACCTCCCCCCAAGTATATGTAAGCAGAATGTTTCCCTTGTTCCTAATCCCGCCCCCAGTCCAAATTGTCTCCTGCATCTCCTTTGCACCTTCCTCTTGTAAATTTTGCCAGCTATTTAAGAAAATATTGATCAAATGGCCCATTTCGCTGCCCCTTAGATAAGGTAATTTACAAGTGTTAAGAGAGAGGATGTGTGTTTCTGAGACAATGGCTCATCATTAAAGGTGCAACTATAGATTTTCCCAGCAGCAATATTGAACACTGAATCTGTTGTAATGCAAAGTACTGGGGATGCTTGATTCTGAATGGCCATTTAAGACCACTATCAAATACATGTTTCTCCTGAGAGATGAAAACTGCTGTAGCCAGCTTGTTAAGGGTCAACATAGCTCTCTGAATTTTTGGACCTTCTCTAGGGGCAGGACCATGAAGACAGCCATAATAAGTTCCTGCAATCAAACTTTAGCAGTCTATGGAAGAAATATGTGTTTTTTTCTCTAAGTAAATAAGCAAAGGATTGCAAATTGAGTCTTAAATGATAACTTAATCCCAAATAATTAAATCTTGTCCACGCTTATGTTGGATGTGTAGTCTCTCTTGCTTTTGCCACTCTGTTTATAAGAAGGGCACATCAATCCAGATTTATTGGACATTTCATGACTCTTTGATTCTTTCTCAGCCCCCCCCCATGTTTATAAAAGCTATGCTGAACAGATGTCCTGAAAGCCTAGAAAGCTCACCTTGTCTGTAACTTTTTAGTGTTCAATAAAGATAGCACCCAACCCAGACTTTTGTTTTTATTGTGTCACGACATGCACCCTAAAAATAAAAACAAAGATGAACAACAATCCTATATGTCACTTGCCCACAGAGTGGCATTCTCTAGCACGTGGATTCCCAAACTGGAGCATGTGAAAGTTCATGGGGCTGAGATTTTCACAGATGGAAAAATAATTTTCCATCAGATTCTACAGATTTCTATTTTAAAATGCCATTATCACTGAATCAGTTTAAATGGCAAAAATCCTGTAAGGATTAATTTACAGTGGTATACATGCAACTGTGTAAACTGCACCAGCAATTTTCCACTGGTGAACAAACTGCTGCTTGTATTTCTGGTTGTCACGCAACTTGGTGCACAACCAGGAATGTGAGTAGCAAATCATTCCTTAACAACAATTCACTATTGCAGTTTATGCAACTACACGTACATCAGAATGAATTTACAACAGGATTCTGGCCAATCGTTTTTTGTATTTTAGTTCCAAACTGAATTTTCAAGTAAAAAGGGGGTTAGATTATTGTAAAGGAGAGATGGGGAGGCACAAGGTTTTCTCAAAACTCAAAAAGTAGGTGCGATGTCAAAAAATTCAGGAAATGCTGCTCTAGCAGAACAGATTCCGCTTTGCCCCATGAGCTGATTGTAAGAGTTGGAGCACCTATGGTAATCTACAAAAGACTCTGGGAAGTACACAGGAAGGGCAGAAAAGCTGCATTGCATGAGCATATCACTTGGAAAAGACTTTGATGTTGGGAAAGTGTGAAGGCAAGAGGAGAAGGGGACGACCGAGGATGAGATGGTTGGACAATGTCATCGAAGCAACCAACATGAATTTGACCCAACTCCGGGAGGCGGTGGAAGATAGGAGGGCCTGGCGTGCTCTGGTCCATGGGGTCACAAAGAGTCGGACACGACTAAACAACTGAACAAACAAAAAAATGAGCATATCGACACACACAATGCTAGATGTATCATATTCAAACCACGACTGAAATATGTTAACCTTTCACATTCTCTCTACAGCACTGGAATATCTAGGCAAGAACTGAAGGTCAAAGACAGACAGTAAGGCTTCCTGTTCTAAAGCAAGAAAAGATTGAAGCCTTTAATTAATGCATAGCATCATACATATTTTTTCCTTTTAGCTAAGAGATTGAATGGATTGGTTCAGTTAATGTTTTTCCCCTCAGCTATAGAACAAGATGTTAAATTAATTTCCTCTGAGGTTCCACTCAAGACTCTTTCATGTGCAAAGATTGATGGACAAAATAAAACTGTCAAATTTTTCATCTCCTTTTTAAAGCTCTCCAGCACACCATACTATTTACTCCAGTTTTAATTCAACTGAAATTGCATTTTATCTGGCAACACTTCAACATACATTTAAAACAGTACAGGGGGAAAAACCATGCACTTTGCTTTACTGAGCTCTTTAGACTTACTTGCACTATCCTACACAGGTCTGCTAAAAAAAAACAGCCATCTACAATTTAATGAGGTTTTCTATTATATGTGTGTATGATTGCAGTATGAGCTTTGCACAAATATATAACTCATCAAACTTTCTCAACCAAAACAGTGTCCTGAAATGTTTACTAGTGCTGCCAGAATGGGATTCAGGGCCATGACACCAGCTGAGATGTATCAATGGTACTTACACATCTATGCGATTGAACTTATGCAGGACACACTACTCAATGATTTTAGCAAATCCTACCTTCTATGGGACAAGGAAAGAGCTATGTCAAAACCAAAGTCAGAATCACGTACAGAGATGAAAATGGGGAACAAGAAGCATCACAGAAACATCTGTATCAGAAGAGGGTAGGCCACTCATAGAAATATGTCTTATACACTAGCTCATCTAATCTAATATTGCCCACATTAACTGACATCAAACCTCTAGCATTTCAGGGCCAGTTTTCAAAATCTATGAGTGCCCACAACCCTGTATGCCCATTGCTGGGGATTCTAGAAATTCTTGTTCAAACAAGGAACTTTTACAAGCTCAGGCACATGGGCTTTGATGAAGCTACTAGAAGTCTTATTTTTTTTTCCAAGTTGAATTTCTTACAATGCCCCTTGAGTAATGCAATTTTAGGGACACTGTGAAAAATTTAAATGACCATCTACCACTGCCATCAGAAAAAGCCAAAACTGGCTCTACTAAGTAGGCCTTGCCACAGGATGCCAGAAACTGTTCTGAAGGAGTTGAAAGGTAATGGAGCTGAGCCATAGAAAATTGAGAAGGCAGAATAAAGTACTAGTAAAAGGGAAGGGGGAATGGCAAAAAGGAACACTTAGAAGGTATTTATGTAAAGGTTTGAAAACTTCCTTTAATGTTTACATTCTTTAGTAAATAATTAAATAATGGCTATCTACTGTAATTCTTTTAAATTAAAGAACAGAAATACACTTTTCATCCACCTGGTGCCAACTTTGTAACAAATATGTATGAATTCTATACATTTTTCCTTAAGAAAACTCCAAAAGAAAAAAAAACATGGAAGATTAAAACATGCAATGCTTACCCAATTACATATCACAATTTTTGTAAAGTTATGCATACAAATGATTTCAAAAATTACAAAACCCACATTACTTTTTGGGAAACATTCTGTGCATTCACTATGAGGACATGTTTAGCTGGCTCATTTGGTTGCGTCATGAAGTTATCAGGATGCAGTTGGCTATAAATCAAGAATAGGCAACAGTGGCCTTCTGTTATTAGACCAAACTCCTATTAGCATTAGCTAGCATACCCAACAGGAAGAAACTGGGAATTGGAACCTAAAGACAGGAGAACTACAGGAGCCTGTCCCTGCCTTAAAGTCAACCAATGGGGCAGTATCCTGTTACTTAGCTCTTCCCACATAATGGGGGTGATATCACTAACAGGTTGCTGCTATATAAATAGATCATTTTTTAATTCCATGATGCATTTTATTTGATTTTTTTTTATACCGCGCCATCTAGCCTATGGCCACACTGGGCAGTGTTCAACATGCATGCAACTTTGTATCCCTGTGCAAGCTCCAAACCCCCCAAATTAAAAACAAAACAAAACAATTCTTTAATTAGTGGCAATCTGCTCCTGTGGGATGACATTATTCTCACTGTGCAGTGGAGCTATGCAACAGGGTACTGGCCAAGATGTACATGTGTCTGTATGTTTATTTTCCTGGGTTGCTACAACTTTTATCAATGACAACACTGCCATTCAGAAAACACCTTATTCTGTACATTCAGAGTAGCAGACATTTTAAAATAATTTTGTTTGCATACCTGCTTTGCTCATAACTAGGTGGTAGCATTATCCTTTCTGGACTCAGGTCTTGAAATTTTCAAAAGATCATGTACTCCTCTATTATGAGAAACTGCACAGACTACTAAACACTTAGTGTTCTTTTTCCCAGGAGTAACAAAGACATCATTTTATCAGTCGCTGCAAGGAAGTTCATTAATTTCAATGGGCTTACACATATCTAACAAGACAGGACAAAGCTGCGTGGTGAACTCAGCAGAGATAAATTATTTAACAGTTTTACAAGATCTTCCCATTTTTACTACTATCCAGTTTTTATACACCAGAGGTGTGGAACTCTACCAGACATGGGGTACATGTGCATCATTCCCCAGAATGTGAATTGTCGTAGGCCTTTTAAAGACAAGAACTAGCCATTTTAAGAAACAAATACTGACTGCTTCATCATTTCCAGCTATTTATTTTAAAATACTATTTCAGGCCTGAAAAACGATAGAAGATGGGATAGAATTTAAACAGCAAATTTTATATTGCCTAGAGGGATCTGGAGATAAAATCACCATGTTCAATCCTCCCCCCCTTTTTTGGCATGTGTTGGCCCAGGAGCTTCAGGTGACCTGCTGGCTATACTTTGCCCACCATCACTGCACACAGAGATACAGTGGTGCCTCGCATAGCGACGATAATTGGTGCAGCAAAAATCGCTGCAAAGAAATTTCGTCGCTATGCGATTTAAAAAAGCCCATAGGAATGCATTGAAACCCCTTCAATGCGTTCCTATGGGCTTCAGACTCACCTTTAAACGAAAATCCTCCATAGGGCGGCCATTTTCGCTGTCCGGTAAGCAAGGAATCCGTCCCAAAAAATAGAAGGCGGCCATTTTTTTAAACCGGCGGCCATTTTGGAACCTCTGATCAGCTGTTAAAAAATCATCACTTTGCGATGATCGGTAAGCAAAACGGCACCAATCATCGCAAAGCGCTTTTTGCCCATTTAAAACATCGGAATGTGATCGCTTTTGCCATCACAAAATCTTCATTGCTACGCGATTTCATCGTTAAACGGGGTGCCCGTTAAGTGAGGCACCACTGTACTTTGGGCTAACTGTGAAAGAAGCATTCTTTAAACAACGAGAGCCAACCCAATTTTCCTAAGCATTTCACTAGAAAATTTCTAGAACAACTGCTCAAGGCTAATTGAACATGCACTCTTAAAAAGGGGGCACATGTTGGCAAACATAAGAGCTGGCTTATAAGAGGTCTGAACTTAAAGAGAGCAACTCATTTTTGCCACTATAATGATAGAAAGTACCTATGAATGATTTAGAACAGTAGGGTCACAGTATGATTTATCAAATACTGCCACAAACGGTTTCAGTGTTAAAAACAATTAGAATGCTTCTGACATGTTTTTACTAATCCTCCTACCATACAATTCTCATTATATGAGACATGATGGAGCACTCTTGTGGACAAGGTCTTACATAATGCATGAATACTTATTGGTTCCACGAAAAGAAACAGAGACATTGTTCACTTCCAATTTCATGGCTGGCCTGAACAATGCTTACCATTTCCCCACTTCTTACTGAAATCTGTATCTAAACAAGTGTAGATAGAAGGGAATTTTTTTAAATACTGGAAATGGTTGAAATCTGGAGCACTTCACATACATATATGAACAATGAAAAGAATTTACAGCAAAGAACATATATGATTTCACATGTTCAGTACCTTCATAAAAATCACTGCTGAAAACTGAATATTTCAGCACCAAATATTTTTATGAACACCTTCTCTCCATTAAAACACTGACTAAGCAAAACTCCTTTCCCATAAATAACACAATGCTATCAATTTGCTCAATTTATTTTAACAAAATTGATTTAGAAATGTCACTGAATTAAACAAAACATCTGAACATGTAAACATCTTCCATGTTCCTGAAACAGGAATTAATACCTGTGCACATTAGTATTCATTAGGAACACTATCAATTAATAAGGCTTGTTTTCAATACAACTAAATTCAGTTTGCTGCTTTAATTGTTCTTGCATTGCAAGTTAATTTTACCAAAATTTCAGATGTATACAATGACACATTATGGGAGAGTCAATAAGTACCATTGGTTACAGCTGTTACAATTTTCCTACCACAAGAAAAAAACCCCTAAGCCAATCACATCAAAAAATCATGGCTTTTTTAATAGATGTTCACCATGTTATGTTAATTATGGTCCTTTAAACACAGAGACATTTGTAAAAGCTATATACAGTGTACATGGTTGAGCATGCACTATTCTTTGATAGATACCTGCTTGCTTGATGTGATGTACTTACAGTGCCTGAAAATGATGCAGCTCAACTCCCATTTTAATCAGTAATCTCAAGAGGAAAGTTGTTTCACAATTGCTATACTTGCATGATTTAAAAAAAAAAACAACCCAAATACCACCAACAACACTTAATCCTATTTAAGAATACTAGATGCAGATTCTACATAGGTTAAGGCAGTAAAAAAAGCACTTCCTGATACAGGTGGTCTCAACATCAATTAAAGCTGTTTGAAGCTATTATTTCCCCTCGTCCTTTCTCCACCACATTTCTGAAGAGTTTATGGAAAGTTTTTAAAAAAAGATTAGAGACATATAATTTAAAAAAGAAGTGGGTAGCAGAGAAGAAACAAAACAGACTCAAAATTATAGGGAATAAACCTTAAAGGACAACAGCTAACATACTACCTTAAAAAAAACGAGGTTGATCTTGAGCATACTGCCCATCTTCTTAAAAATATATTATCTGAGCAATTCAAGTAGAAGACTACCAGAGGCTACTTCATGACCCATGCTGAAATTATGATCCATTATCTCACTTCATCAATAACAGTTCTGCATCTAAGCCACATTTTTAAACTAAAGTAATTTTACTGAAATTATTGTAGCGATAATTCTTGTGCACACTTATTCTGAAGCAGACTACCACTCAAGTTTGGGGACGATATCTAAGTAAATGCTTCTGGAGCTCCAGCCTCTCCCTTTACTCATAACTGTATAGTTCACATACTCTATTAGAAAGATATGGCAGATTATTTAACCAGACTTCTTTGATTTGGGTATTAAACAAATTCATAATCAATGTCACTCAGAGTGATACATCAGTTGTAAAGATGATTGGGAATGTTTATATCAATCTTTTCTGTCCAGTGACATGAAATAGATAATATGCTGTAAAGCCAAGAATTTCTAAAAATTAGTTTCCCCATAGTTTGAAAATACAGACTCTTCAATTCATCTTCCAGTATTGTTATATGTCCTGTTAAATTAGGTCACCAACTTATTCTCCTTCTGTTCTTGTTTTTAAAGATGGTTGTGTTCAAAGCAGTTTGTTCTTTAAAAAAAATCTGTTGAAATTTATATAAAATTCTGTACAGGTTCACAAATTATTGCATAAACAGCATAATCTTCACAACAAGTGTTTCTGCAGCACATGTCCATTTAAAAAAAAAATTCACGTTTCCCTTCTAGCTTTTTTCTTCTTTTTGATTTGTTTCGGGGATTCCCAGCTTTCTTCTGACTTGGCTATATATTAAAAAAAACCAAGGAGAATGTTCATTGTAAAATATATTTATGTACAGTTCATCTATATAATTCACTCTACTGCATTACAAGGAACACACAAAAACTAATTCTGTTAGCTTGTAATGACTATGGCAATTTTTTCTATATATTTAGATAAACTCATGATTTAAAACTATTTTGCATGTTTTTAGAAGCAGCAGAACTTACCGTATTTTTTGCTCCATAAGATGCACTCCCCCCCCCAAAAAATGTGTGTGGGAAAGTCGGTGCAT